CTGAAGCCAAGCCGCGGTGGGGCCCTGCCGCGGCCCCCCGGCTGCTCCCCCCGCCCAGGACCGGAGGACGCGGGGACAGGCGGCGGGGGGGAGCTCCTCCGCCATAAAAACCACAGCCTGACCTTCGCTCTGTCAGTAAAGCCAAGCGTCGCGTCTTCCTGCACAGCCCAGCAACCAGACTGCATACCTCGACAGAGTGATGAAACAGGAAAGCTGAGGGGCAGTCTGACTGTATTAAACATCTGGAATTTCTGGTTTTTTTAGTAAAAAAGAGCTCTAATCAGCATTTCCAATGATAGAACTAAGTTGTTTACAAACAGACTTGTACCCAGTCTCTTACTGGGTGGGGATGAGTACTGAATTGTTCTCTACCAAACCTCCTCAGAAAAGCTTCGTGGGGGGCATCGCTGTTAGAACTCCAGGTCTGTCATCGCCAAGCCAGAGCTGCTCTGGAGGAGCAACAGATACCCGCTTCATATTCACGACTGCTCAGCACCACAACACAACTGCTGTACGTCCTCCAGCCGGGTTTCAGGGAACACGCTAGTGTAGTAAGTGCGCTCACCCCCCTCGTCACCAGTGCTGTAACATTCAAACGACACATACCAGCACCGAGGAGGGGAGGATGCTCCTGCAGTCATGCTGCTGTGTGTAAGATACTGCAGAGGTATTTCATGGGTTCGATATTTCAGTATAACATTACAGGAGCAGTGCTAACAAGCGCACGATGATATAAAATACAAAAAGATGGAGCGCATTCTTCCTAAGTCATGTCCCTCTTTCAGGTAGCAATTATGTGTACACAGAAAGAACAGATGTAGAGCCTGCAACACATCTCAGCAGTGTGTGATACCAGACGACTTCCAGTAGGTACACACACATTAACATTTTTATTTATACAACCAAAAGCATGAAAATCGTAACAGCATCAAAACTTCAAAAAGTTTTTTTTCTTTATCTTAGGAAAACAATTTTAAAATCAAAACATTATTTCTTCGTCATTGAGCTAATATGTTTTTACATTCTTTATTCAATTCTCCAGCCATATTTCAGATTGCTGAAGCAATATTTAAAGCATTATCGAGATCATTCACACTTGGAGTAAGAAAGCATACAAGCTTATCTCCAATTCCTTTACAGCTCTGAAGGACCTTTTAAGTCATTTAAGCAACCTCCAAGTCAATAGTACCTTGCCCTACACCTTAATTTTGAAAAGTTCCTTAAATAACATCATTCAAAAGCAACAACATTTGCACTTAAAACATACAAACATCTGCCGTTAGCAGGCAGAAAAGTTACACAGAACTATGTATTAAACTTAATATGGTTGACTGGGATTGTCTTTTTGAACAGCGTGTTTTTTGGGCGGCCCATTTCTGACAGATCTGGAGAATTCTCAAATTCTGTCCACTTTACAAGCTGAGATCACATAGCACTATGCAAGAGACTGTCATTTACTGTCAGAATTAAAACTGTACCTGCTCCTGCCCAATAACCTTGAAAAGAAAGTGAACAGAGATTAACCTCAACAAGCTCAGCTCTTTGTTATGGAGGAAAGCAGCGGAGGAGCTACTTAACACAGAGAGGATCCAGACTTCTGATGTCTGCATTACACATAGCTTGTTTAGCAACATACAGATAAGTTAGAGTAAGTCTACTAAGGTTCACTAAACATTTTTGCAGCCCTCTGATCAAAATATAGTACTCGTTACGCAGGACATCTGCATATTCCTATTTCATTTTGCACGTTAAAACTTTCTTGCGTACAGTTCTGAGAAAATACAATGCAAACCATGCCCAGATCCATTCAGGTAGATGCTCAGCCAATGCGAACTGTGGAGAGGCACCAGGAGATAAAAGAAAAAAAAAGGAAGGGACAGATTAACAAACAGTTTCTCAAATTAACACTAAAGCAAGGCAAAACCTGCTCAAACATCAGCACCTAAGCCTTAAATTCAACCCCCTGAACTTAAATACATTTAGATATTCTGAAAGTAGTGCACGCAGCTGAACAGTTAGGTTCTGCAAATAAATCCTGAAGTGGTTTGTTCAAGTCTACAACAGCAATACTGTCCACTTCCTTTAACTGCCACATCTTGCCAGAATCCTTCCCACCTCTTTTATTCCTTCTGGACTAATCCCCACTTCTTTAGTTCCTTCTACTCGACCTAATGCTGCAGAAAGCCACTAAGCAGGACACACGAGATGTGACCAATGTTCACAAACTTCATTTTGAAGCCCACAGTCTGCCCCTAAAAATGAAAACCTAACATACAGAGAACCTGCTTCCTGGAAGCTTAGGATAAAAATGTGGCCTTATTTTTCTGCTGTTATTACATCCTCCTTACCCACTTTTCCTCAAAGTAGAAATATGCTCAATAAATTAAGATTGAAAAAAGCTACTTCCGTTCATAGAAGACAGCGAAATGCTTGCCCAGTCAGCAACACACCAAGTGAAATGAGATACTCTGCTTTTAAATAAAAAGTTGTCTGCCCTTTCTGCTGTGCATTTCAAGTGGGAACTGGATTTGCTCTCATTTTTAAAATATGCATGCCGAGCATAATTTGCTAAAGCAGAATTAGTGAGAAAATTTGGCACAATGCCTTTAAGTCCTATAATATATACTGCACTTTTTCAGAATACGAGCATAGTTTTCATTCAGACTCCTAAGAAAGTAAGCAGCTTATGTACTTTTACTGACAAACATGGAACAGTTCAATGAATTCTATTACCTTTATTGCATGCTTCCAGTAACCAGTAGTCCTGGTGGATAACCCAAGTGTAGAAACAGCATGACTTGCATATTCTTCGGCGGAAGGAACAAAGAAAGATCTCTTTGATATGATGCTGCTGCATACTGCCATTTTTGTAGCAATGAAGAATGGTGTTAAGCTCTGAATAAAAATTCCTTTTGAGGCATACTCATAATGTAGTGCTCTACTGAGATAGTCCAAGTAGGCCTAGAAAGACAAAAGCAGAGAGACATCTTTTTTTCTTTCTTTTTAAAAACAAGTCTCAGAGCAGAGTTCTATTAAAATTACAGAAAAGTCGTAGCATATTTTATAGATCACCTAAAAAAAATTAAAAGTTAGAAATGTATCTCTTTATACTATTTATTCAAAAGCATTACCAACATTTCTATTTGTTGCTATTTGTTTGCTAAAAACCTGCAACAGTACAGTAATTTACAGCACAAAGAAACTGCTTGACTCTGATGTGAATTTAGCAAACAATCTGACAGTTTCTGCTTAAAAAAAGCACAGAAACATTGCTTTCATCTGAAACAAACACCTTGTTCAGTTTGGTGGCGCTGCAGGGGACACTCCAAAGCTAACTATCCATACTACTGTCGAAAGGACAAAACAAAGTCCCATTCTTTAATACATTTACAGGTGAATTTTGTATTCAACTGATCTTCCCCAGAAGCTAGGCTGATTACTTCCTGCAACTCCCCTGTGCAAAACTCAACATCCATTTGTTCATGTGTATCTGTATGATCTCCTTCAGCGCAGTTTACTTTTACCGAGTAACATAAAAAAGCACAAGCCTGGTAACTCGGATTGCTGGAACGGAACAGAAGGAAAACTGAGCGCGGCTCAGTCTTACCAAGGCAGCACCACTGACGCCCCGCTGAAGCGGCTGCTGTGCCACGCAGCCAGTCACCCTCGAGAAAGAGCATTTTAGACTCAGCTTGTGAGTGAACTGGTCTCTGCTCCCCCACAGCCTCACAAAAGCTCCATTCCCAGCAAACTGTTGAGAGAGCATCTTCTACAAATGCTCTTACACCTGCTTTAGGAAAACAAACCAAACAAGCCAACCGCCCCAAACACCATACACTGTTAACGCGCAAAGAGGCTTAGGATGTTAGAGCAGCTTGTTCTTGCTTCTGTGCGAACCTAACTATTCAGAGGCCAGGCTTTAAACTGGATCGCTGATCTTGGATTTGCATTAATTACGCCAGCTAAAGGAAGAAACTTTGGTCCATTTGGTTTTGTTCTGTTCTTTTTCATTCAGGCCTTTTAATTGTTTTAGTACAGAGTGCAGTTCTGCGTACACTTAGCATAACTAAGGGGGGAGGTGCTCTGCAACAGAAACAGGAATCTTACGCCAGCCTCCACACTGCAGAAAATCTGCAAGGAGTTTTATACCTTGGGGCAATAAAAGCTGGTTTTGCTCCAGGCAAAAGGAAGTACCTAGCAAGTGCTATCCCAGGAGCAAGGCTCACAGGGGTTAGGCCACAGCACAGGGCAGCCACCGAAGGTTGGGAGCAATAGCTGCTTCTGTTCAGACACCGGACTGAGATGAGATCCTTCCACAGTCTCAGTTCCTTTTGTGGATTCAGCAGCAAGTCATCCAGTGTAAATCCGCATCCCCACACACATTCATACTTCCTGCATCGCCCAAATGCCCCATCCTATTCATTACTGACTGGATCTCCTCAGGAAGAATAATTGTGGAGGAGGAAGTTCCTTTTCACTTCTCCCCAGATATGGTACAGACAATAGTGTCAGAAACCTTCTGCCCTTTGGTGTTTGGAGAAGCAGTGGCTCGATTTGGCTACAGCCCTTGTCACAGGGGTGGCCTGAGCACGAGTTTAGCCCCTCTTGCTACCAAATACGAGTGTAGAAGTAGCTTGAGGCAAGTCTGCATGGTTCAGCTGAAGAAGGGAGAGATGAAATTCTTGACCCTTTCAGCAGGTCACAGAACTGCCACTTCGCTTGGCACATCATTCCTCTGAGGAAGGGAACGCTCTTCCTAGAACTACTGTTACGCCACAGCTCACACATCATCCGAATAGCACTGACTTTGGTTCAAAGCCCAGTGTTGATGAGCATAAAGAGTTTACTGCACAACACACGTAACATTCACCTCCCCTCTGGTATTTGAGCAAATCCCTAGAAAATTTCAAGGATGTTTTGATATCCTTGCTGAATGTGTTTGCAATCAACCAACCTATAGTGCACCTACTTTCCAGTGCATACCATTAAACGTTACACCCCCACTTACTTTAGAGGCTCCATAGACCGTAAACATTGGTGTTGGCTGACAAGAGGATCCAGAAGAAACATTCACAATTGCCCCCTTCTTCTTCTCTGCCATGCCTGGCAGCACAAAACGTATCATCATGTTAGCAGAAACAATATTTACGTTGACCATGTCCCACAGCATGTCCTCAGACAGGTTGGTAAAATAGTCTGGGTAGTGATAAAACACTCCCACATTATTCACCAAAATCCCGATATCTCTGTCTTTCAGAGCCTCCTTAATGGCTGGGTAAGGCTCACGCCCCTTGCTGAAGTCAGCTACTACGAAATCTGTTTCCACTTTATAGGTTTCAGCTATGCTCCTCGACACAGCCTCCAGCTTCTCTTTGCTCCGGCTGATTAAGATGATGTTGACACCCCGCTTTGCCAGTTCTTCAGCATATGCCTTCCCGATACCATCTGTGCTACCTGTAATAGAAAAGGAAAAAAAGCGAGGCGTAAATCAGAGCAGCCCCAGCTTTTTGTTTGGACAGTTCTTTAAATTACAGCTTTATTCCCTTCTCATGTGGCACCGAATGTGCTGATCTCAAAGCCACAACGTTAAAGACAACATTGTCAGCAGCAACCTTCTGCAATCCCACCTCATGCAAGTTTTATACTTCTGTGACAACAACAGAGAGCCTAGAGTAGAACCTTAATGAAAGGCAAGGATGTCAGAGCTACACGACTTAAACTTTGTTGAACAACTCCAGCATGCGCAAAAAGCCCATAGCAACAAAAAAAAAAAAAAGGACCATGTCTGCATGTCTGTCTGTATGTGTTCAGGTTGAACCTTGCAACTTTGGGGAGAAACTGCTCTGTGATTCTTTCCCAGCAGTCAGTCAACACAATGAGCTTGGCCGTCTCCTGAGGAACTGGGTTTAGGTAGGCACTGAACTGCCACTGCTCGAGCAGATTAACTTATGACCTGAGACAATACAGGCCCCAGCCTGCGGCATGAAGCTCACCCAGCACCATAAGCTAGCAAGTTCTACAGTACTGGCACGGTACATTCCATAAACGTAAGCAAACACACTGCTCCAGTCTCTTACCGGTGACCACGGCCCATTTTCCATACTGCTTGACAAGATCAATCTCACCGACCAGCTTTGGAATTAAGTGCAACCTAAGCGCCCTGTAAGTGTTAAACCCAAGAGAGATGCACTTTCTGATGGTGTACCAAGCTCCAACTATGGCCAGGGCCTCTACATAAAAACTGCAGGAGCGGCCAATCTCTCTGTACAAGAGGTAGAAAGGCTCCACTGCAGCCATGGTGATCACGAGCCTGGGGAAAAATCAGAGAGACACAGGCCGTTAGTTGCCTCTTGGGCCACGCACACGTCTCAGGCTGCACGGATAACCTGTGAGACTCGGCGCGCTGCAGACCGAGTGCCGTTTTGACACAGAAAAGCCATGAGCCAGCCTGCTAAAATCTGGGTGTCACCCACCACCACCCTCAGCGGTTGAGCTGAAGTTTAGCTATTAATTAATCCCACTGCGATGACACGGATCAGAGGTACCGCAAACAAAACAGCTGGGGTCCAAGCGGATGCGGGAAGCTCACCCGGTTTTTGGAGGATGAAGACCCACCTACGAGGGAGCCAAGCCCGCCCAGCAGCAGCGAGCTGCGCACACG